GAATGCTAGCTGTGAGTGCCGAAATGGCAGCATGGGCTGTATGCTCCTCAGGGAGTTGAGAAAGATATTGGCTAGTTGCAAAGGCCCTATAACTACGGATAATAATTTGTGAACCGCTTTGAGACAACATACAAACTAGGTTGTGATAAAGCTGTATATAAGAACCTTGAATCAAAATAGAATCTACCTCAAGGGCTTACAAAGATATCATCACAAAGAGTGCTTACAATATTGTCAATTTGTTCAATTCTCAGTTGTGTGATGGAAATTTTCATTTGTTATTAGTTCCCACACAATAAAGACAAGGTACACTGGACACAATATATAACTCAAATCTGGAGTTCATGACTGGTCTCTCTAACAAGACAAAAAATCTAGAGATCTTATTTCTGACAGGACTGGTCACCTGTGATCATTCATTTAAAATCCAATCTAGAGGTCATGTGTCTCAGAAAGCTGGTCAATAGAGGTCACTCATACAAACCACAAATCTAGAGATTGATTGTCTCAGATAGCTGGTCAACAGAGGTCACTCATACAAAACACAAATCTAGAGATTGATTGTCTCAGCTAGCTGGTCAACAGAGGTCACTCATACAAAACACAAACCTAGAGATCTTGTGTCTCAGATAGCTGGTCAACAGAGGTCACTCATAGAAAACACAAATCTATAGGTCTTGTGTCTCAGATAGCTGGTCAACAGAGGTCACTCATACAAAACACAAATCTAGAGGTATTGTGTCTCAGAAAGCTGGTCAGCAGAGGTCACTCATACAAAACACAAATCTAGAGGTATTGTGTCTCAGAAAGCTGGTCAACAGAGGTCACTCATACAAAACACAAGCCTAGAGATCTTGTGTCTCAGATAGCTGGTCAACAGAGGACACTCATACAAAACACAAATCTAGAGATCTTGTGTCTCAGATAGCTGGTCAACATAGGTCACTCATACAAAACACAAATCTAGAGATCTTGTGTCTCAGAAAGCTGGTCAACAGAGGTCACTCATACAAAAAACAAATCTAGAGATGGATTGTCTCAGATAGCTGGTCAACAGAGGTCACTCATACAAAACACAAAAGAGGTCACTCATACAAAAAACAAATCTAGAGATGTATTGTCTCAGATAGCTGGTCAACAGAGGGCACTCATACAAAACACAAATCTAGAGATCGATTGTCTCAGATAGCTAGTCAACAGAGGTCACTCATACAAAACACAAATCTAGAGATCTTGTGTCTCAGATAGCTGGTCAACATAGGTCACTCATACAAAACACAAATCTAGCGATCTTGTGTCTCAGAAAGCTGGTCAACAGAGGTCACTCAAACAAAACACAAATCTAGAGGTCTTGTGTCTCAGATAGCTGGTCAACAGAGATCACTCAAACAAAACACAAATCTAAAGATTGATTGTCTCAGATAGCTGGTCAACAGAGGTCACTCATACAAAACACAAATCTAGAGGTCTTATGTCTCAGATAGCTGGTCAACAGAGGTCACTCATACAAAACACAAATCTGAAGGTCTTGAGTCTCAGATAGCTGGTCAACAGAGGTCACTCATACAAAACACAAATCTAAAGGTCTTGTGTCTCAGATAGCTGGTCAACAGAGGTCACTCATACAAAACACAAATCTAGAGATTGATTGTCTCAGATAGCTGGTCAACAGAGGTCACTCATATAAAACACAAATCTAGAGGTCATGTGTCTCAGATAGCTGGTCAACAGAGGTCACTCATACAAGCACAAATCTAGAGGTCTTGTGTCTCAGATAGCTGGTCAACAGAGGTCACTCCTACAAAACACAAACCTAGAGGTATTGTGTCTCAGATAGCTGGTCAACAGAGGTCACTCATACAAAACACAAATCTAGAGGTCTTGTGCCTCATATAGCTGGTCAACAGAGGTCAATCATACAAAACACAAATCTAGAGATCTAGTGTCTCAGATAGCTGGTCAACAGAGGTCAATCATACAAAACACAAATCTAGAGATTGATTGTCTCAGATAGCTGGTCAACAGAGGTCACTCCTACAGAACACAAACCTAGAGGTATTGTGTCTCAGACAGCTGGTCAACAGAGGTCACTCATACAAAACACAAATCTAGAGGATATGTGTCTCAGATAGCTGGTCAACAGAGGTCACTCATACAAAACACAAATCTAGAGGTCTTGTGTCTCAGATAGCTGGTCAACAGAGATCACTCAAACAAAACACAAATCTAAAGATTGATTGTCTCAGATAGCGGGTCAACAGAGGTCACTCATACAAAACACAAATCCAGAGATCGATTGTCTCAGATAGCTAGTCAACAGAGGACACTCATACAAAACACAAATCTAGAGGTCTTGTGCCTAATATAGCTGGTCAACAGAGGTCAATCATACAAAACACAAATCTAGAGATCTTGTGTCTAAGATAGCTGGTCAACAGAGGTCACACATACAAAACACAAATCTAAAGATTGATTGTCTCAGATAGCTGGGCAACAGAGGTCACTCATACAAAACACAAATCTAGAGGATATGTGTCTCAGATAGCTGGTCAACAGAGGTCACTCATACAAAACACAAATCTAGAGATCTTGTGTCTCAGATAGCTGGTCAACAGAGGTCACACATACAAAACACAAATCTAAAGATTGATTGTCTCAGATAGCTGGGCAACAGAGGTCACTCATACAAAACACAAATCTAGAGATCTTGTGTCTAAGATAGCTGGTCAACAGAGGTCACACATACAAAACACAAATCTAGAGGTCTTGTGTCTCAGATAGCTGGTCAACAGAGGTCAATCATACAAAACACAAATCTAGAGATCTTGTGTCTCAGATAGCTGGTCAACAGAGGTCACACATACAAAACACAAATCTAAAGATTGATTGTCTCAGATAGCTGGTCAACAGAGGTCACTCATACAAAACACATATCTAGAGATCGATTGTCTCAGACAGCTGGTCAACAGAGGTCACTCATACAAAACATATATCTAGAGATCGATTGTCTTAGATAGCTGGTCAACAGAGGTCACTCATACAAAACACAAATCTAGAGGTCTTGCGTCTCAGATAGCTGGTCAACAGAGGTCACACATACAAAACACAAATCTAAAGATTGATTGTCTCAGATAGCGGGTCAACAGAGGTCACTCATACAAAAAACAAATGTAGATGTCTTGTGTCTCACATACCTGGTCAATAGAGGTCCCTCATACAAAACACAAATCTAGAGGTCGTGTGTCTCAGATAGCTGGTCAATAGAGGTCACTCATACAAAACACAAAACTAGAGGTCTTGTGTCTCAGATAGCTGGTCTACAGAGGTCACTCATACAAAACACATCTCTAGAGATCGATTGTCTCAGACAGCTGGTCACCAGAGGTCACTCATACAAAACACAAATGTAGAGGTCTTGTGTCTCACATACCTGGTCAATAGAGGCTCAGATAGCTGGTCAACAGAGGTCATTCATACAAAACACAAATCTAGAGATCGGTTGTCTCAGATAGCTGGGCAACAGAGGTCACTCATACAAAACATATATCTCAGATAGCTGGTCAACAGAGGTCACTCATACAAAACACAAATGTAGATGTCTTGTGTCTCACATACCTGGTCAATAGAGGTCACTCATACAAAACACAAATCTAGAGGTCTTGTGTCTCAGATAGCTGGTCAACAGAGGTCACTCATACAAAACACAAATCTGGAGATCGATTGTCTCAGACAGCTAGTCAACAGAGGTTATTCATCTAAAACACATATCTAGAAGTCCTATCTCTCAGACAGCTGTTCAATAGAGGTCACTCATACAAAATACAAATCTAGAGGTCTTGTATCTTAAGAGAGCTGGTCACCAGTGGTCACTCATACCTCACACATATCTAAATGCCTCAGAAAGATGGTCACTAGAAATAGGACTTTATGATAGAAGGTAAGTTTAAGGGACAATTTAGTTAAGTAAGCTTTTTATAGTCTTGTCACAAAATTCTTCATGAAAATACTCCTTAGGAACAATTCATGCCAAAAATTTATAATAGACAATGTTTTCTTTGTGTTCTTAACCATATGTTGTAGCGGCAGCTGTCGGTGAACTTCAAACTAACAAATATGTCTTTACAGCCGGGGAGAGGTCAATTGTCGCTTTATTCACCTAACTTCTTTGGAATACAAGTACAGGCATTTAATCTAAATCAATCTTCGAAACAACATCTCAAAAATATTTACAAATGAGTAATTCATTTTATGTTTAAACCTACATATATTGTACTTTCTGCGGTTTGAAATTCTCCCTACGGTACCCCCTTGCATGCATACTCTAATTAAACCTGTTTCTTTTTCAAATCCAACTGTGAACAGAATTATCTCATTGGATTTATATATTATGATGCTTATATTTCTTGCTTGCGATGTATTGTGTAAATTCAAAGCAACAAGAATGTGTTATGTGGCAAATGAGACTCGCTGACACTGTGTTGTTGGTCAACATCTTGTAACTGTACGTGTTAACTTCTCACTGAAAGGCAGCGATATTGCGCTATTGAAGTCGTAGCTATATTTATCAAATGCTTTGCAAAAAGGTAACACTGACAATACTGGATATTGGCTTCAGGTCATGTCATTATCAACTACTCTTACATAAACTTTCATCAGGAGATATGTATTTTAATCAATTGATTTAATGAGGGCTGGTACCCAGACCACTCAGCAGATAATTATCTTTCTCTCAAGATTTTCTGTTCTTAATCTACAGAAAACAAATGTAAAGACAATGAATTAATTTTGATTGTATCAATACACTGTACAAACTTATGAAACATTCCTTCATAAGAAAGAACACATGTTAAGTGCATCAGGTAAATATATCCCAGGCCAAGTTACCAACACCCAGAGATAACAAGAGGAGAGAGCAGCACTTTTCCTGGAAACACCTGCTTTCTGGTGCTTTTAAACACTGACCTCAGTTGAACTAAAAGAACTAGTAATAAGTAACTCACCTCCTTGTTGTGTAGATGAAGATATCATTTAGGTCACTGTGACCCGATTTCGCCAGACTGACCATCTGGAGTTCCCAATCCATGGCAAGCTCCTTCCACTGGAACAGTTGATACATATGTCAAATTATAAAATTTCATAAATTTATCTACTAGTGATACTATATCTATGTAAATAGTATCAGATCAACATAGAACAGACCTAACATAGCAGGAATCCATGCTATCCGGAACGTTTTTATTACATGGCCAGTCAAAGACAGGATCTTTCCTTCAACAAGGGCTTGAACTTAAGATTCAAATATAACTAGCATACATGCTGATGGATACACATAGTTGAGATAGCACTGCAGAAGCAGCTGTTTAACTTTTTCACACAATTGATTATTTTAGTCCTCTTGTTAAATACATGTTTCTAGAATCAATAACATAGCCTTGACATTCAAATATGTAGACGATTGCTTTCTTTACAAACTTATCACAACCCACAGTTCAAAGATTAATGTCTGCAAAATTCAACATCAAAACCAAATATTCCTTATACCTACCTCAAAGTTTTAGAGAAGAATTTGTTAAATGCAAAATGGCCCTAGTCATTATTTTGGCCATGCACCTGACCTCAACCCCTCCTTAAGGGGTTAGCCCCTCAATTTGTACAATTATGAATCCTACCACCTGAGAGTGCTTTCAAATAAATATGGCTTAAATTCATCCCATAAATTGAGCGGAGAAGTCCTTTTAAGAAATATTGCTGTATGAACCCTTACTGGTTCCACACCTCAGTCCTCTAGGGGTCACCCCTCCATTTGTGCAAATCCCAACCACCTTGAAATGCTTCCCACAAAAATGGCCAGTACACACCCTTAAGTTCCAGAGAATAAGTCGCTTAGAGCAATTTAGCTAAATTACCCCTTTTTAGCCTAGCCCCTTAACCCCAGGATAAGCCCTTCCATTTGTACAATTTTGAATTCCCACCACTGGAAATTGTTTTCAGCTGATATCCATCTCATTCCCAGAGGAGAATATGCTGAAATCAGTGTGGCCAAGTTAATCCTTTGGAACTGCCTCATAGTCCCTCCATTTGTACCATTTTGACTGCTTTAAACCAAATATGATTGATATTTATCACTTAAATCTAGAGAAGAAGTTGAAGCAATTAGGCCAAATCAACTGCAGCATATAAACACTGTAGCATAGTGAAGTAGGAATGCTACTAGCAATAAAAGGAAAGTTCAAGATTGGAAAATTGAAACTGTAACGCTTATTGTATAGCTTGGTAGCAAGCCATCCCTGTTGGTCATTTGGTCATGTTTTTAGTAAAGATTGAAGAAAGTAGCTGATGTACAACAGTCTGAGGTGTCCTTGTTTTCAAATTCAGCAGCTAGAAGGTATATGATTAACGTGGTAAATAAATTTCTTGTAACTTAAAGACAGCACATCGCCTATAGTCTACTGGAAAAACTTGCCATGGAACTCAACAAATATAGTCAACAAAGAACTCCATCATTCTCACAATTTAATCTTAAGCATATTTCTATTCGCCAGTATCCAAAATAATTCACAACCGTATATTGCCCTTCGCCTTTCTGAGATAAATAAGGCAAAGTATTGCAAGGCAATCCATAGTTCCCCATCGGTAATGATTTCTTTATTTACCGAGCTACACACCTATCTCAGGATAAACCTACCTAATACAGAATAGGGATTTTTTTTCCAATGATTGCTGTAGGAGGTACAGTAAATTCTACCATCTCAGGTTATACCTGCATATCAAATTTGGCTACTCCAGGTGATAAAGTACAGAAGATGACCTGTAGACCAACTTTTTCGATGACTGTGGTCAGATTTCAAAGGATATATATCACAGTGACCTACTTTTTGTAATTGCATTCCACCACCATAAGATATGCCTGCATACTAAATCTGGTTAATCCTGGTGAAATAGTACAGGAGATATACTCAAGACAAAACTCATAAAAGGATAAGGTCAAAGGTCAAAGCATATGTCACAGTGACCTACTTCTCATACTATGCACTCCATTGTTTCAAGATGTCCTTGCATACCAAACCTGGTTACTCCTAGTGAACTAATATACAAGATATACTTTAGACACACTTTTTCAATGACTGAGGTCAGAGGTTAAAACATAAATCACAGGGACCTACTTTAGTAGACTTAACTTCAGCATCATTTGATATACCTGCATACTAAATGCTTAAATATTCAGGTGAAATAGTATAGAAGCTTTTGTCAAAACATAGATCAGATCAACTTTACATACTCTGCACACTGCCATTCTACGATGTACTTACCAAATCTAATTACTACAGGTGAAATAGCATAGAAGATATGCCAGGACATATTTCACAAATATAAAAGTCTAAGATTTAAGCATAGGTCACAGTGACCTTGTTCTTGTACTCTGCATTCCACCAACCCAAGATGTATTTGCATACCAAGTCTGGTTATTCCAGGTGATATAATATAGAATATATTCACCGGACAAACTTTTTCAAAGTTTAAGACAAAGTTCAGAGCATAGATCTGAGTGACCCATTTCTTGTAACCTGCACTATATGTCTTCATATAAGAGCTGAAGAAGAAGTGTGAAATGAAAGGATTAAAGGATCCTTGGACAGAGGAAAGAGCAGCAGGGTTTCATAGTAGGTAGGTAGAAGGACAAATTTGCTTACCTTAGCATTATCGTACAGCAGAAATAACATGGAGGCGGCCCTGGCTCCCACAATCTTGCCGGATGAGTCATGCCAGGTCTGACCAAGTAGGGAGCCCAGGTGAAGCTTGTTGTGATACATTGGACTGTGAAAAGAAACATATTTATTCATCACATGTGAACAGGGACATTGATTCATTACATGTGAACAGAGGCATATTGATTTATCACATGTGAACAAAGATGTATTGATTCATCACATGTGAACAGAGACATGTTGATTCATCACATGGGAACAGAGACCTGCTGATTCATCACATGTGACCAGAGACATGTTGATTCATCACATGTGAACAGAAATATTGATTTATCACATGTGAACAGAGACATTTATTCATCACATGTGAACAGAGAAATTTATTCATCCCATGTGAACAGAGACATTTGAACAAAGAAATATTGATATATCACATATGAACAAAGAAATATTGATTTATCACATGTGAACAAGGATGTGTTGATTCATCACATGGGAACAGAGACCTGCTGATTCATCACATGTGAACAAGGATGTGTTGATTCATCACATGTGAACAGAGACATGTTGATTCATCACATGTGAACAGAGAAATGACGATCCATCACATGTGAACAGAGACCTGTTGATCCATCACATGTGACCAGAGACATGTTGATTCATCACATGTGAACAAGGATGTGTTGATTCATCACATGGGAACAGAGACCTGCTGATTCATCACTTGTGAACAGAGAAATGATGATCCATCACATGTGAACAGAGACCTGTTGATTCACCACATGTGAACAGAGACCTATGATTTATCACATGTGAACAGAGACCTGTTGATCCATCACATGGGAACAGAGACCTGCTGATTCATCACATGTGAACAGAGACCTGTTGATTCATCACATGTGAACAGAGACCTATGATTTATCACATGTGAACAGAGACCTGCTGATTCATCACATGTGAACAGAGAAATGATGATCCATCACATGTGAACAGAGACCTGCTGATTCATCACATGTGAACAGAGACCTGTTGATCCATCACATGTGAACAGAGAAATGATGATCCATCACATGGGAACAGAGACCTGTTGATTCATCACATGTGAACAGAGACCTGTTGATTCATCACATGTGAACAGAGACCTGTTGATCCATCACATGGGAACAGAGACATGTTGATTCATCACATGTGAACAAGGATGTGTTGATTTATCACATGTGAACAAAGAAATATTGATATACATGTATCACATGTGAACAAAGAAATGATGATCCATCACATGTGAACAAGGACGCATTGATTCATCACATGTGAAAAGAGATGTGTATTTTCATCATATCTTGAACAGATTTATACAACACAATGAGAACCAAATGATGCATTGTTTTGTTACGTATATAAAGATTCTTATACGATAAGAGTGTCAGAGTTAAGTTTTAACAAGCATCTAGCAACTAGCTATAAATAGCTTGCTAATATGAAAAAAATAATTAGGAGATTGAGAAATTTGATATGAAAATGAAATAGAATAAAGATTCTATTATCCAATATTGAGATTTTTTGTGAACATCAAAAAAACAACTAGAACACTGACAGGTCAGTAAGGGCCCTGTCTTGTGGCAATATATCCCCCATAATCATCAAGAAGTAATCTGCCCATATAGCTGAGCTTGACGTTTGACATTTGGACTTCAAAAAGAATCGCAAGGAAGCAAAATATACATTTTACATGTACTATGATGTGGGTCTTGTTTCCTTCCACCTCCATATTTTCTTGGCTAACTGAAATGTAAATACTGGTGCAATAGTCATTTGTTAGCTTTGACTTGTTTTATTTCACCTTATATACCTCCTCCATCAAGAGCCAGGGTCAAAGTCAGAGATCCACTTTGTCTTTGACCTTTGGACCCAAATGACCTTCACCATTAACCCAGTGACCCTGATCTTTGGTCAGTTGACTTATTCTTTAATTCTGACCAACTTCGCTTCATAATATCATAATAAAATGTTCATCAGTGAAAAATAAAAAAACTTGACCATGACCCTTTGGACCCCGTAACCTGGACCTAAGGTCAGTTGACTCTGTGTTAAGTTCTGAACAAGTTTGCTACATAATAACATACAAAAAATGTTCATCAGTAAAAAGATACAATATCTGACCTTGAAATTGACCACGTGACCTTGACCTTAAGTCAGTTGACTCCTTTTATATTCGGACCAACTTTGCTTAATAATGTCATAACAAAATGTTTATCAGTGAAAAGATACAAAATTTGACCTTGACCTTTGACCCAGTGACCTTGCCCTTTGGTCAAATGACTCCATGTTTAATTCCCACAAACATTGCTTCAAAGTGTCATAATGAAATATTCACCAGCAAAAAAATACTTAAATTTAACTTGACCGTTGACAGATTCTGACCAACATTGCTGCATAATGTCATAACAAAATGTTCATCAGGGAAAAGATACAAAATTTAACCTTGACCTATGACCCAATGACTTTGACCTTTGGTCAATTGACTCCTTGTTTAATTCTGAGCAACATTGCTTCAAAGTGTCATACCAAAATGTTCACCAGTGAAAAGATGCAAAATTTGACCTTGACCTTTGAACCTTATTTAACATCTTGACCCAAGTTTCATGTACATCGGTCAATAAATACCAAAGTTATCAGCCAGGAACAAAATTTGTGGACGGACAGACAGACAGACAGACAGAGTGATTACTATAGGGCACCCGTATCTCCAATACGGGGCCCTAATTAATGCTTTTCCATGTCATTTTTGAAGTTAGGAATTTCACTTCTGGGCTCTTTATTTATTGTCTTCAATGAACCTCATAAAACAACCTGAACAAACTGTAACATCACTCCGTCATCATCGTTTGATTATGTCATAATAGGTCTTATTTTGTGTGTTCATACACAATAAATGACAAGGGTGTATTCACTGAAAACACTGTGAGGTGGGTGGGGAGAGGAGGAGAGGGGAGGGGAAGGGAGAGGCAATAAAACCTCAGAAATATCAAACAAATTCAGCCTTGATAAGTCTTGGCAAATTAAAAGAAAACAAATTTCAGCTTTTGAAAGTAATCAAAATCGGTTGTGAGGGTGTCACATATTTCATTTGTATGGCCCGTATAAACCACTGTTTAATCAAATCAGTGTGCTCCACACACCAAATCAAACTCAGTTTTTTTTCCACCTGTTCGAAATATTGTCAAGGCTGCTGATACAGTATCAATTATTACACACTTCCGACAGTTTTTTCCAGGGAAATAATTAATCATCACTCCCTCTCTACAATAGAGACACCGGTTTCAAGGACTAATTCCACGGAGTTGCTATTAAACCACAAGTTTCAAGGACAACAATGGCCCCAGGGGAAGCAGCTGCTATCCCACCAAGTTACCTCACAACTCCACAGCCCTCGATAAAATACTGCAGGATAGAGCTTTAACAGTAGAGAGAGAAGGTTCCAATGGAAAAACTAACGTTAATTCTATTTTTATCTAATTGATTGCTCTACCAGAAATACAGAAAAATGACTGAATGAGCATTCTCGTAATTCTACTCATCAAATACCTTGATGGAACTTATATAGAAAAGCTTGTTTCACGAACCATTCCTCAATGTTGATTACGTTACACAAATTCAACTAAAATTTCATCTCTGTCCCCAAGAACTGGGCTAAGAAAACAATAACTTCATGTGATGCCACCTATGGAAAGAATTTATATAGGCTTGCTTGCTATTCAATTTATTTGACCATAACACCATGTCAATAAAATCTGTTGAAATGCAAATCACTTCATGCATGTGATATCAATAAACGATAAGTAATATTGATTTTGGACCTTAATTGTAACCTCTTAGAAACATGATTAATGACAGTAATTACTGAACTCATTGTGATGTCTATAACACTGGGTTAATGACATTGATTTCAAACCTCATTGTGATGTCTATAACACTAGGTTATTGACATTGATTACTGCCCTCATTGTGATGTCTATAACACTAGGTTATTGACATTGATTACTGGCCTCATTGTGATGTCTATAACACTAGGTTATTGACATTGATTACTGACCTCATTGTGTTGGCATTGATACCTGACCTCATTGTGATGTCTATAACTCTAGGATAATGACATTGATTACTGACCTCATTGTGTTGGCATTGATACCTGACCTCATTGTGATGTCTATAAAACTGGGTTAATGACATTGATTTCAGACCTCATTGTGATGTCTATAACCCTGAGTTAATGACATTGATTACTGACATCATTGTTATGTCTTTACCACTAGGTTAATGACATTGATTACTAACCTCATTGTGATGTCTATAACACTGGGTAAATGACAGTAATTACAGACCTCATTGTGATGGCTATAACACTGGGTTAATGACGTTGATTACTGACCTCATTGTGTTGGCATTGATACCTGACCTAATTGTGATGTCTATAAAGCTGGGTTAATGACATTCATTACTGAACTCATTGTGATGTCTTTACCACTAGGTTAATGACATTGATTTCAAACCTCATTGTGATGTATATAACACTGGGTTAATGACGTTGATTACTGACCTCATTGCGATGTTATTGATTACTGACCTCATTGTGCTGTCTATAACACTAGGGTCTTGACATTGATTACTGACATCATTGTTATTTCTTTACTACTAGGTTAATGACATTGATTTCAGCCCTCATTGTGATGTCAAAAACACTGAGTAAATATCATTGATTACTGACCTCGTTGTATTGTCTATAACACTAGGTTATTGACATTGATTACTGACCTCATTGTGTTGGCATTGATACCTGACCTAATTGTGATGTCTATAAAGCTGGGTTAATGACATTCATTACTGAACTCATTGTGATGTCAAAAACACTGAGTAAATATCATTGATTACTGACCTCAGTGGGATGTCTATAACACTTGGTTAATGACATTGATTACTGGCCTCATTGTGATGTCAAAAACACTGAGTAAATATCATTGATTACTGACCTCAATTCGATGTCGATAACACTGGGTTAATGACGTTGATTACTGACCTCAATTCGATGTCGATAACACTGGGTTAATGACGTTGATTACTGACCTCGTTGTATTGTCTATAACACTAGGCTAATGACATTGATTACTAACCACATTGTGATGTCTATAACCCTGAGTTAATGACATTGATTACTGACATCATTGTGATGTCTTTACCACTAGGTTAATAACATTGATCACTGACATCATTGTGATGTCTATAATACTGGGTAAATTATATTGATTACTGACCTCAATTCGATGTCTATAACACTGGGTTAATGACATTGATTACTGACCTCATTGCGATGTCATTGATTACTGACCTCATTGTGATGTCTATAACACTAGGTTAATGACATTGATTACTAACCTCATTGTGATGTCTATATTACTGGGTAAATGACAGTAATTACAGACCTCATTGTGATGGCTATAACACTGGGTTAATGACATTGATTACTGACATCATTGTGATGTCTATAATACTGGGTAAATTATATTGATTACTGACCTCAATTCGATGTCTATAACACTGGGTTAATGACATTGATTACTGACATAGCTGTCATCCTTTCCTCATTAGGAGGCAGACTCACTCTTTTTGACCATTTACCAATCTCCCTCGAAACACCCTTGAAACTTCCTCATTCAAGTCCAAACTCACACAAACCCAAATTTTACATCCTGTGGTCAAATGATTTCCTATTTACTGCCGGGTATGTGTAATTATTATAACAGGTGTGTCTGAATCAAATGAATACTTTTTGGGGGTTATTTTTACATAAAAAAGGGAAAGATAAATTGAGGAAAGCAGTTTCAGTTGGGTTTCACACACTTTCTGCTTATTGCAAAGGTGGAATGAGGGAGATTTACCTCATTGGAGGTATCCGAGGTTGACACCTATGTACTGACCTCACATAATGACTATAACATTGGGTTAATGACATTAAGTACTTACCTCATTGTAACATTGTTGATTTTGTGAATAATGTCTTCCTGTGTTAGGGAATTGATGAGATCTTCATTATAAAACCACAGTTCTAGCACACTGGTCACATGGCAGACAGTACCAACTCTGTAGTAAAATTTCAGGAAAAAATTAAAAACCACTTCTCCTGAAGTCTCCAGGTAGGTCACATTCTATTGTAAAAGCCAACCTTTACAATAAAATTACAGGTATATGACCCAACACTGTTATTTATAAGCAATTTGTCCCACAGATACCTACAGAGGGGCGACAAATAAGAACTAGAATGAGGCCTTTATAGACAAGTGTTTCCTACATATAGGTATTTTAATAGACAGGAATCTCTTCAACAGAAGTTACCTGTCCTGAATGGACAGATATTTTCTATATAGAAGAATTCTTTATAGACAGGTACTCACTATGCCGGGGAGATTTATATATACAGGTATTTATACAGACTGAGGTGACTGGTATTTAATATAATGACATGGCCTTCAGAGGCATTGTTGTAGATATGTTCTTTATAGACAGGTACTCACTATGCCGGGGAGATTTATATACACAGATATCTATACAGACTGAGGTGACAGGTATTTGATATAATGACATGGCCTTCAGAGGCATTGCTGTAGATATGTTCTTTATAGACAGGTACTCACTATGCCGGGGAGATTATATATACAGGTATTTATACAGACTGAGGTGACTGGTATTTGTATACAGAACTGACCTTTATACAGACAGTTATTTAGTACTTTTATAGACAGGTATATACTGTACATGTATGTTCTTTACATTAAGTAGTTAGCAAGGTTTTTAGAACATCTAAACCAGATGTATGCTGCACTGTTATGTATAATAGATATTGTGGACTACAACATGTCAATATACAATGTATTATTGGCAGAATCAGAACTGGGATAGCATTTCTGAAGCAATCTTGTCTGTTGCAATTTTCTTTTCTAGCGAAAGTTTGCAGACATTAAGAGTGGGTATTTTAACTTACACACTTTAAATAAAGTCCCGTCTTAGTAACCAGAGGCCCAGAGAGTATGTAAACTGGTGTGAAGTTTAATCAAGGAATCAGTGGATTGCTTAATTAGTGGACTGTGTCATGAGTGGATTGTGTAATGAGTGGATTTGAAATGAGTGGATTGTATTTAGAGTGGATTGTGTAATGAGTGGATGGCTTCATAAGGTCATTTACAATACATATATTGTATTCTAATTTACCATTCATATCTTGAAAAATCATAGGTATTAATTGGTGTATAAAATCAGTACTCACCGAAAGCACAAAGTTTCTAGAGTGTGTGGACCACTCTCTACAGCACTAGCAGCCTTGTAGAATGCCATCATCTGTAACAAAATGATGCCAATTTATTCTTTTGTGACTAACTAAAGACCCCATGACAGAGTAAGGTTCACTCTGTGTGTGGCAGAAATTAACGAGCATGCCTAGTCATTTCTCTCTGAGGAATTCCACAACCAGCAAAAAAAGAAAATTGGAAGTGACTCCCTAATAGACATACTCAGATAGAAACTTCAAAATCTCTGCAAAAATTCATGATGATAATACAATACATGAATATAGCTTTAATAATGCATGCACTATTCATGAATATTCATGTTTTGAAATATATATCTTACCTATATATTCACAAATATTCAGTCTTAAATGTTCGTAATTATTTTAATACACTAAAACAATTCCAAAATCCTTTTTATAAATCTTTTTTGAGGATAACAAAGAAATTGTCTTATTTTATTGAGGTACTATCAAATAATACAGAAAACAAAATAACCAGACAGGCAAAAACACAACCTTCAATCTGTCATATTTTATTTTATTTTAATTATTGATTTTACAACTGTACATTACATGCGGATTAAACATTTAAGATTATTTAAAGACATCAAAACTAAACCAGGTGGCTGAACACATCAGTTATAAAATGTCTCCCCAAAATGACAGGCAAGCTATCAACCACTGGCTGCTGTCATGGAATAGCCTTGAACCAGTTGTCAGCCCTCATGTCAATAAATAATTACACAACCAGGCTTAAACCCCTTCAAGGATCAGTTTAGCCAAACAGATGGCACTGTTCTGGATCAAGGTGACCTACATCTGACAAATAAAACTAAGGTATGGTAGTAGAATATTGACAAAAACATAAAAACTTGATTTTCATATATTGGAAGATACAAACATCTTTGTCAGTTTAACTCAGAAACAACCAGGATTACTTTCAGGGATATAAACCAAAAAAGTAAAGCAAATTCAGTGCCAAACATGTAATCATCTGCATCAAAGTTTGAGGTTTTTCATAGTCAAGATTAATGTAACACCATTACCGCTCTGAGGGACACTGGTGAAAGGATGTTGTCGGCTGTGATGATGACAGAAGCGTATCGAGTGAAAGGTGGAAAGTTCTTCATCACCCAGCGTTTTTCCTCCTGAATTCGTGATGTTGAAGGTACCCAGAGTTTTTCCGCCTCTTTTGTCTCTTTGAAGTCCTTCATTCCTATTCCACACAGGCCACATATAAGGACACATAGACAGATTGTCAGGATGGGGTGTTTAGCAACGGCATAACCCAGTCTGAAACACAGAATAAATAAATACACATAGACAGATTGCCAGGATGGGGTGTTTAGCAACGGCATAAGCCAGTCTGAAACACAGAACAAAATACACATAGACAGATTGTCAGGATGGGGTGTTTAGCAACGGCATAACCAAGTCTGCAACACAGAACAAATAAATACACATAGATAGATTGTCAGGATTGGGTGTCTAGCGACGGCATAACCCAGTCTGAAACACAGAATAAAATACACATAGACAGATTGTCAGGATGGGGTGTTTAGCAACGGCATAACCCAGTCTGAAACACAGAATAAATAAATACACATAGATAGATTGTCAGGATGGGGTGTCTTGCGACGGCATAACCCAGTCTGAAACACAGAATAAACAAGAGGCCCAATGGGCCTGCATCGCTCACCTGGTATTAATCTCACAATTATAACCTTAAAAGGGCAATGAGAACATGTGCCTATCCAGAATGGGCCCTAAAACGGGTAAAAAACCCAGTGTCAAAGTAAGGAGAAGAACAAGAAATGGCCAATCAAGGATAAGAACAAAACCAAAGGTTAAGTGGTTATCCCGTATATAAAGGGTATAGCAACAGCCATGAAGCCCCACAAGACGCTTCGCAATATCCTAGTACACCCAAAGGATAAAACACCTAAAGAAAAACGTCACAGAATGCATATACAAAATTGGATGCAAAAACTGTGCTGCATCGTATATTGGAGAGACTGGAAGGCGATTTGGGGTCCGCCTTGGTAAACACCGGAAAGATACAGAAACCCAAGAAGGTAGGAAATTCACCAGACCTGAAAGAAAACAGTCAGAGTCCCAGATAAATAAATCGGCAATCACAGACCATATGCCACACAGAAAAACCATGTGATTGACTGGGATATCGCGATAGAAAACTCCGAAGTTTTGGACAGAGAGAGCAATCTGTTCAAGCAGCAGATGAAGGAAGACCATGAATATGGGTGAAGATCATTCATTTGAACCAACTTGGTAGTACTTTATCCAAGCATGTTATTGGCTAAATATCATCATCCTGGACCTTTTGGTTATACAGAAGAAGTCGTTTATAGGTTTTGAAAACAAATGACCCCTGTGACCTTGAATATGGGCAAATGTCATTTGTTTGAACAAACTTGGTAGCCCTTCATCCCCACATGCTACCGGCCAAATTTCATCACCCTGAAGCTTTTGGTTATTTAGAAGAAGCTGTTTAAAGATTTCAATAAATTTGACCCCTGTGACCTTGAATATGGGCAAAGGTAATTTATTTGAAAAATTTTGGTAGCCTTTTATCCCAGCATGCTACTGGCCAAATATCATCACCCTGGACATTTTGGTTTTACAGAAGAAGTCGTTTAAAGGTTTTGAAGACAATTGAACAATGTGACCTTGAATATGGGCGAAGGTCATTAGTTTGAATAAACTTTTTAACAATAAACAATTTTGGTAGCCTTTCATCCCAGCAATCATTGCTACTGACCAATTTTCATTACCCTGAAGCTTTAGGTTATTCAGAAGAAGTTATTTAAAGATTTCAATAAATTTGACCCCTGTGACCTTGAATATGGGCAAAGGTAATTTATTTGAACAATTTTGGTAGCCTTTCATCCCAGCATGCTACTGGCCAAATATCATCACCCTGGGCGTTTTGGTTTTACAGAAGAAGTCGTTTAAAGGTTTTGAAGACAATTGAACACTGTGACCTTGAATATGGGCGAAGGTCATTAGTTTGAATAAACTTTTTAACAATAAACAATTTTGGTAGCCTTTCATCCCAGCAATTATTGCTACTGGCCAATTTTCATTACCCTGAAGCTTTAGGTTATTCAGAAGAAGTTGTTTAAAGATTTCAATATATTTGACCCCTGTGACCTTGAAAATGGGCCTTTATTCAAGCATGCTACTGGCCAAATATTATCACCTTAGACCTCTTGGTTATTTAGAAGAAATTGTTTAAAAGTTTAAACATATTTGACCCCCCTGTGACCTTGAATATGGGCGAAGGTCATTTATTTGAACAAAGTTCGTAGTGCTTCATCCTAGCATGTTATTGGCCAAATATCATCATCCTGTGCCTTCTGGTTATTCAGAAGAAGTTGTTTAATGATTTTAACATATTTGACCCCTGTGACCTTGAAAATGGGCAAAAGTCATTCATTTAAACAAACTTGGTAGCCCTTCATCCCAGCATTCTACTGGCTAAACATCATCAGCCTAAGACTCTTGGTTAAAGTTGACGCCGGACGACGTACGCCACACCATGCCATAAGCTCACTTGGCCCTTTGGGCCAGGTGAGCTAATAAAAACACATTGATAGGATGGGGTGTCTAGCAGCAGCATAAAATACACATAGACAGATTGTCAGGATAGGGTATCTAGCAACCATAACGGAGTCTGAAACACAGAAGAAATGAACTCATAGATAGATTGTAAGAATGGTATGATGAAAGATTTACCTTTATTTCCCTAATTGGGTCCTTAATTCCCTATGCCCCAAGTGGCCCTCTTTCTCCATTTACACAACACTGAGTCCACTTTACCCAAGGATGCTCTAGATCAAGTTTGATTAAAATCCAGAGAAAACGATATTTAAGATTTACCCCTTTTTTCCTTATTGGCCCCCATTCATGTACCCCCAGGGAAGGCCATATCCTCCACATACACTACAAAGAATCCCCTTGGCACAAGAACGTTTAAGATCAAATTTTGACCAAGTCCATTTATTCCTGTCTGTTCCTTCTGCCCACGGTGCCCGGGCCATGCCCTTCAGTTATATAAGGTTCAGTTAAATCCGCCCAAGGTTGATCCAAATCAAATTTGTGTAAATCTTTCCACGTGTATGGATAGAAGAGAAGGATTAAAATTTACCTCCATTTCCCCATTTAGGGCCAGCCCCTTAGCCTCTAACAGGGGCCAATGTGTCCATTCACACTATTCACACAAAAATGAGTCCCTTTAACTCTAGGATGCTCAGGGACAAATTTAATCTGTACAAAAGACAAATTTGGACAAAATCTTTTCAATCCTACAGAAAAAGAGTTTAAAAAAGTTACCTTTTTCCCCCCCATTCTGACCTTGCCTTATGCCCTATGATGGGTTGGAGGGGGGCACATTCTCCGTTTATGAACAAATTATTTACATCCTTCATTCGGACAAAAGCAGATGGATGGTTTTAAATATCTACCTTTCTTTCCCCTATTGGAACTAAATCCACTGCCCCCTGGGCGGGAGGCACCCTAAGTTTATACAAAATTCACCTTGGCAAAGGATATGCTCTGGATCGGGACAAAATCCCTCTTTTCCAAGGGAATATTTTGAAGATTTAAATACCTGCGTTACCCTTATTTGGCACTTCCCTTCTCTTTGAGGAGGCCATGCCCTCCATTTTGATGTTAAGCATTTGTGACATGTACGTATGTGTGAGAACTAACAGGCCTATACCTATATACGCTTGACGACTCGTTGTTCAAGGGTATAATAATGAAGCCAATGGATACGAACTTTCCAGGTAAAAGTAAAGAGGTTAACAATTTAAAGAACATCACTTTTTAATTTTACTGTCTAGTCTGAGGACCTGCTTGTGTGCCATGACCTTTTGTGCACCGCTGTGCATACCCCTGTTGCATGCAATTTGTTGACTTCATTGATTTTTTGGTAGAGAAAGTAAACACATAGGCTCCAGCACAAGGGCTTGGCACAAATCTCTAACCCCAAGGTTTGTATATATGTGTATTATGTATCATACACATATATACAGACTGCAGGTTCAAGGATCTGTGCCATGCCTCTCTGGGCTCATGTAGATATACAATGATGTTAGACGAAATGAAGAAAAAAACAAGCAAGTTCACACTATTTTACTTATATACCAGTAGAAAAAAACTTGTCTACCATTACTTTATTTGATTAGAGAACAACAGAAATACAGCTTGATAATTGTTTATGCTAAAAATTCATTATTGTCTGCTAAACAAAACTGCTTGGCTGTCATGTGGTCTGGTTTGTACTGCTATTCTAAATGTACAGACAAAGTGTAAAGTATGGCGTCCTTATATGTTTTTATGTGAATATTCTTTATTCATATTAAATGTGTTGTTCAGTTAGAATATCATATGCAAAATGTTTTGTTGTAATTCAAAAATTTAGTACATACAAACGTTGAAATAATTTTGTAAGTCTTTTCTCCGGATACATTATAGAATTACAATCTGTTTAGACTGTAGTGGTGTCACAGTGTACATTGGAAGTTTCCTCATTTTTTTTAAAGCTTTTGCTAAAGGTCGAAATATCTTTATTGCAATATTTTTCAAATGCTTATTTTCATGTATTTGCTTGATGTCTAAATTGTTCTGAAGGTGTAGCTGTACCCAAATCAGGACTCCCCTACCAGTTTTGGCTTATATTTGGAGATGAAAACAGTATTTAGCAGAACATATGGCATATCTTTGGAATATTTAAGAGTCAATGAGTGGTGGTTCGGAATGAATTTCTTTTCCAAACTTCCATTAGTTGTGAAAAATTAGGGTTGTGAAAAAATCACATACAAAAATTGAAAATCAATAACTTTGCATGGCGCATCAATTTAGAATGTTACATTTTCGTCATTATTTCCAAACTGAAACTGATTGTAACCATAGATAGCAGTAAATAAAGTTTATATAATGTTTGATTGGTATATAAGTATCTTTAAATCAATATTTTCAATTTGAAAATACTTCTTTGTACAACATGCAATTTTCTTGTGTCTTTTTCCTCCAAGTGTCCCGATTTGGGTACTGCCCCGATTTTGGGTACTGTGACGGTACTGACGTGTTCACCAAATACTTATGGTAATCAGGCCAATACCATTACCCAAATGACATGAACTGTGGACACAAAATGGCTTTTTCAGCAACAGTATTGAGTATGGTACTGTCATTGTAAAGGTAGCAATTTCAAGCTGACCCTCCAGGAAAATAAAAGAGTAAACATTTTTGATAAACAACATGCTGTTTAT